GCCACAAAACTACATTTCCTAGCAGGCGTTGCGCCCCGGAGTCTTGTTTTCTCTCACTTCCGGGTCTGTCATGTGACTGCTGGTGCACCATGGCGGAAGCTGAGGAGCAGGTAAGGGCTACAACTACTAGTTCTGGCACCAGGGCCGCAGTGCCAAGAGCGAGTAGAGGGAGGCTTGGTTTGCAGCATGGTTTGAGGCAGAGCTGCTGTCGAGGCACGTCGGTCACAGATCGGGGCCGCAGAGATTCACTTTGAGGTTCGGAGAGGATCTCTGCTTTTGTGAGGGTATCTGTGGGAAGCGCAGAGACACATCCCTGGTAGGAGATCTTTTCTTTTGTATGATCTCTGTGCCCAGTGAAATTTTGGGATGAGTACAGGTTGGGTTATGCCAGGAGTTAACTCTTGGTAGGAAATAAGTGATAACTTGAATTTTGAGGGAACTGATTCTTAAGTTGCTTTCCACTGTTAATTAGGATGGAGAGAGCTACTTTTCAGTTGATGAATTTTATTGTGTCTGAGGTTGAACACAGAAGTAAGTCACTGTTGGAGTGTAGCAATAATTGAGTGCATTAGCTTGGACCAGAAATGCCCAAACTCATTGCCAGTTCCCTTTTCCTGTTTGTGGTACTTTTGTCTAGTTACATCACTCTTAAATATGGGATTGTGTGCTGGGGAGTCGGAACCGACCCGTAGATGACTTTCTGGTAGGTTGCCCATCCTTCTCCCTCGGAGCAGCTGGTGGATTCGAATTGCGTGTCTTTGGGACTGCAGCAGAGCTTCTTACCTTTAGGTGACAACTGCTCCCTAAGTATGGGATAGAGATAATAAATACATCCTCAGAGGGTGGTTTATACTTGACTAAGTTAATTCAAGGGTAGGATAATTTCTTCCTAGAAATGAACACATCAATGTATGCTAGGATGATAACTGGCAATGTGGCACTAGAGTTGGGACAGTGAGAATCAGTGATGGGGAATATGAGTTATTTTCATACAGGCGGTAATGGTCTGTAGGTGAAACAAACAAATTTATCTAAAGATTCGATAACACAAGCTAATAATAAAATGAAGAAGACAAATAAAAATGAAGCAGACCAATTCCAGAATACCCCTTAAAAAGGTTAGCTGTTAGGTATCATAACGAGATAAGTGACCTAGTTCAAAAGTTTAAATTTTACCCTGCAACAGGTCTTTTCAGTAATGTAACTTTTCCTAGTATACATTTTGTGTATGTTAATAAAACCATTTGGATAGGTGGTGGTGGTTGTTGTTGATTGACTTTGAGTCAAGCACAACTCAATAGTGACCCTATAAACAAAAGGCCTGAATCTCCTCTACAACTGTCGACATTTATCAAATTTCATAGAATTTCTGGAGGCATGTTAGTTAGGAAGTGGATGCCACTCCTTCCAAACTTATGGTTTGTTAATTGTTGTTATGGGCCGTTGAGTCGTTTGCCATGTATAGCAACCCTATGTACAGCAGCTCTGAACCCTTCCCTGTCCTGAGTCAGTGTGTCTCACTAATTCTGACACACCACCCCCCATCGCTCTCTCTTGTGCAGTTTGTCTACCCTTCTGAGAATGATGTCCTTCTCCGAGGGCCTGATCTCTCCTGGCCACCTGCCCAAAGTAAGTGAGGTAGAGCTTCAAAATTCTAACCTCCAAGGAGAGACTTGGTTTCACCCTCTCCAAGACAGACCTGTTTTCTTGGTAGTCCATGGTATGTTCAAGACTCTTCTAACACCACAACTCGAAGGCATCTATTCATCTTCTGTCATCTTTAGTCATTGTCCAACTCTCTGAAGCATAACAAGTAATTGAGAAGACGATGGCCTGGATTAGACACACCTTTGTATTTAGACTGACTTTGTTGCTTTGTCAGTGTGAAAGGATCTCTGGTGGTGCAGTAGTTAAGCATTTGGCTGCTAATCCGAGTAACTTGAGCCCGTCAGCCACTCCAGAGACAGAGGAGTCAGTCAGCTTCCCTGAAGATCTATGGCCTTGGAAACCCTGTAGGGGCAGTTCTAAAGGGTCTTTATGAGTCAGAATGAAATTGATAGCAGTGGTTCACCATGGTAACAGGAGAGTGCTCTCCCTAAACCCTGGAACCTCCCTTTTCCTTTCTGAGCACTTGAAGAGAAACTACTCATTATCCCTGGGCCCTATATGTTCTGTGGGCTTGGTTTTCACACTGTTCTTCACTTGATGTTGAAATAGAAATGTGTTGTGGTTTGAATTTTACGTGGAAAGAGTTGCTGTTGTTATTCATTATTGCTTTTTGCTAAAGAAGAGCTTGGCAGAGCTCTCTGATGTTATAAAAAAAACCCTCAACATACAGAAATTTAATGATAGGATAAGAATGCTTCTCATTTGTACAGCACTTGCCAGCCCTGGTCGTGTAGTGCATCATGCATTGGGCTGCTTACTGCAAGTTTAGTGCTTTGATTCCCTCAGCCACTCTTAGGAGGAAGATGAGTAGTCTTCTATAAAGATTGATTTACATCCTTGGAAATCTAGCAGATAGATGGTCGCCCAAAGTTGGAATCAATTGGATGGGCTTTTGTTACCAGAGTAAATAGCTCTTTCACAGTGCAGTTAATCCTCATAGAAGAATCCTGTCAGGGCAGTGCTTACACTAGAAATAGGTCTATCTAGGGCTCTATAGACACCTGGTTGTGCTGCAGGTGGAGTAGTCCTACTACCTTCTTTTTCTGACCTCATGTTCCAGTAACTTCCCTCTCTGTTCCACTGTGCCCCTCTGTGATAGCCCCACTGGCTTACTAACTGTTTCTCCAGCATTCTTGCCTCAGGGCTATTTCTCATACTCTTCCATATTTAGACCCCAGGTGTCATTAGGTTCTCTCTTATGCTTTCTTTCAATCTTTGTTCTAGTGCTGGTTTTTTCAATGAGTCCTTCACTGACCTTTTTTTAATTGAACCTCCCTAATATAGTATGGACTTTATTTCTCATTATTTTTGTACAGTAGAATCTAAGTGCCATGATGACTAGGGTCTGTTCAGTGTTCAAAGTGCTGAACACCTAGAATAGTGCCTGGCACTTTATAGAAATTCACGTTGAATGACTGAATTTTACAGATAAGCAAAGTGAAATCTGAAGAACATAGGGAACCCCCTCAGGTTCCTATCTAGAATTAATCTCTGGTTTATCCAAAATCATGTCTTTTGTTTGTTTTACTCTTTTTAGAATGCTTAAGAACCTGTATTGGAATAATTTTGTGGTTTATGAAATAGAATTAGTCTGTATCTCCTTTCTTCAAGTCAAGACATCCGTCTGCCTTTGACTTTTTTAACAGTCAGTATTATGTTTATACTGACATATACTGACTGTGTTAGAGGAGAGTACCGAATATCAAACAGATATGTTTTGGAGAAGGTGAAGCATAGTATTCTTTGGAGGCAGAGATGATGAAGCTTCATCTCACATACTTTGGGCATGTTATACCTTGGAGAAGGATGGTGAAGGAGAGGAAGACTCTCAACCATGTGGATTGACATGGTGCCTGCAGCAGTGGGATTGAGTGTACAAGAGATTGTGAGGATGTCACAGGATAGGTAGAAACCAAGTTTAGATCTGTTGTTCATAGGATTGCTATGAACACGTTGGACTGATTCTCTTGTTTATAGGATTGCTATGAGTTGGACTGACTCAGTGACATCTAATGATAGCATGTGTTTGTAAGATCACTGGGTGGCACAAATGGTTTTATTCAGCACCCCTGTGGAAGAAAGACTTGGCAGTTAGCCTCTGGAAAGGTTGTAATCAAGAGAGCCCTCTGGAGTGCAGCTGTGCTCTGACCGGTCAGAAGGCTTCTAGGAGTGGAATTGACTCAGTGATGGTGGTTTTTATATGTTTGGCATCTACATTCACTTTCTCACATTGCCAAAAAAAGACCTGTAGTCTTTTGTCAAAAACAAGAAATATAAATGCTCATAAATTGTTATTACGTTTATTTTAAATTAAAAAAAATAAAGCTAGTAAATAAGTTGCTTTTTTATTATCGGCCCCTTATAGAGAAAAATAGTTGTATTTTCTCATCCTGTTTCATATGTATATTTTGTGTTTCACAGTAGGAAATCATTAAAATTTGACCAAGACAAACCAGAAAAACAAAGAAATCCATTGTTGTAAAATTGATAGAGACTCCACCAGTGGCTGGTGAATTTTAACAGCTGTAGCACATAACTTACAAGCCACCCAAAATCCTTTTGACTGTGATATTGTTGTGTGTCCTTGAGTCAGACTGACCATCGAGTGGGTCTTCAGAGGCAGTAAATTGCATGGGAGGAGATTGCCCATTTTTCTCCTGTGGTGCAGCTGGTGAATTTGAACCATGTGCTTTTGGGTTGACAGCACAGCTTCTTACCACTAAGCTTCCAGAGCTCACTCTCTCTCTCTCTTTCTTTCCAATTTCTTTTTTTTAATTGAGATTTTATTGTAAGTTTATAAAGAACTTGGAATTCCAGTCATTCATAGGGAGCCTCAATTACAGAATTTTTTTAAGTCAGTAAGTACCCTAATTTACAGTCACTGAATTTGTAGTTGTTCTAGATCTTAGAAAATCATGATGTATTTATTTTCTTAAGGAAGGCTTTAGGAATTGCGATACAAATTAAAATAACTGGCATGAAATTGTACAGATTAAGGGAAGAAGAATTTTTTTCAGTTGGTACTGTTGCCATATATTATTATTTTCTCAAAGATGTAAAACCGTCCAAGATGAATATAATGCCAAACAAAATGAAATTTCTTCCTTCACTTTCCTGAGCAATATATTCTTTATTTACTGCTTCCCCTTTGCCACTCACTACTCCCCTTTCAGTTTTGAGAATGATCCCATTTGTAAAAATTTTTATTATTTTTGTGTGTGTACTGTCAGATCAGATCTGACTGGTACAGGAGGAGATTGTCCCTCCTTCAGCAGAGCATCTGTTGGATTCGAACCACACACCTCTGGGATTGCAGTGCAGCTTCTTGCCATTAGGCCACCAGACCTCGCTGAGAAGATCTGGTTTTTTAGCGAGTTCATATGATACAAAATAGTTCACAAATTTTCAAATTAAAGTCACTTGATTTTCCATAAATAAGAAT